AAAAATGGACGTCGAATTTGGGAGGGGGGGTAGTTGCGTTCAGAGTCATTTTTAGCAGTGGAAAGAATAAAAACAAGAACACTGTCCCGGGATACTTGTCATCTGGAAAATTGCTATATTCCTACTTTTAAAATTGTAGTTGTGCAGAGTGCGCGCTTAGTAACTTAATTTTCTGCCTCGTTACCTACTCCCTATCAAGTCCTTAATTCGAAGTTTCCCTGAACTGAAACTGAAGTAAAAAATGGATGTTCACTATACGATCTCTAAAGGTAAGCTCGATTGGATTTCTAGTATCGGTGCCCATCCAACTGCCTACGTAAGTAACAACGCAACACACAACATAACCTTTTTAGTGCAAGTGAAATTAAAAAAGATATGCACATTAAAATTGGCGTGAGAAGTGGGCTATAATGTCGGGACCAATTCAACGTCTGTTTCTTGTATACTATCGGAGCTAGCAGCAGGAGACGTGTCTCCACCACTGACTCTTGCCTAAGGGGAGTGGCGGTTTTCCACCGATTTCAACCAGAACGCACTTGGTCTAAAAATCTAGGGGAAAAAATATAAGTAAGGTAGTTTAAACGAAATGATAGTTAGAAAAGTCACAGTAATCGAACCCACGCCCGTCCTATATCAAATTCTTATACTTAGATTTTGGCTTTATTGAATCCGAATTAGCTAAATTGATTTTTGCCAAAAAGGTACACTGAATTTATCAGAAAAAGGAAAAGGATGACTTGTATGGCCGCGTAAACGGGGCAAAGAAAGAGGTACAGCTCGCTTACTTAAACTCGACAACCTTGCCGTAAATTTCAGAATGGTAACCTACCCCTGTGTCTTAGAGGTAATGCTAAATCCAGCATAAAACTAAACTGTTACCTTAAATTTAAAGTTAGCCTTACCCACAACCTTACGATTGCCACGAACGCAAACCTTAAACTTGAAAAACTCTCCCCTTAACACTAACATTAAACCTAAACTAAACCCGACCCCCACCTTAATCCCTAACCAGATTTCTCTGGAAGTTGGCGCAAAGCTACATGTGTAATGCGCAGTCCTTGTTCCCAAATCCTTACGAAAAGAATTACAATCGGATCAGGCCATATCCGGTCTCAAGTTGTGCTGCGAAACTAAAATACAGGGGTTCTCAATGATTTCCCTCACCCAGAATGAGCCGATACCTTGGCGCCATGGAACATGGTCGCTGGAACAGAAAATGTAGTCGTTTAAAGTTTTTGATTCATGCTCGAAACTGTCATCAAGGACAGCACCAAACACCGATTATTCATGCACAGCAAGTTGCAGTAGTTGTAGTATCCAGTCGCTAGGCTACCGCATAGATATGAAAATTAACTGCTCCTTTTTCACCGCGGCTGGCTGCCTTTTGCTGTTATAATGTCCTGGCGGCCAGCGTTTCAATTTTTACTTGCTATCATTTCATCTCCCATATTGGGCTTTGGCGTCATAATTGCTTTGGTCAATGTAATTAGTCATCCAGGGAGCACGTAGGCTGATATTGTCTCCAACTCCGGTGTCGGAGGGTCAGGTGGAGAACAATAATCACGTCAACATCAGACACGCCTGGTTATATTTTGGAGATTAACGATTTAACTGCCGACCATTAAATAATTATCGCAGCAAACGGCAAACAGCCTCAACAAAGGGGTGAGGGATGGAGGGAAACATTGGCCCTTCTAGAGTTCTCTACTTATGCGCAAATTCGGTTTCTGCGCTGGTGTCTCGATAATAAAGTGTTTTCGAAATGTGTCTAATGCAAACCACAGATGTTTCGAGACGTGCAGTATTGTCACACGGCAGAAGGATGATCCAAATGTTCCTTTGTGGTTTCAGTAATACCCTTAGAGGATTGAGCAAAGGGGAACTAGGCACTGTGAATACGTACTGTACGGTACGCAACTGCCGCAGTGGATGGCAGCCGACGGAAACCACGAAACTGCATATAAAGTGGCACTGGAGAAC